TACAAGCATCTGTGCGATGCAATGAAAGCCATCCTCAGAGGAAAATTGATTGCACTGAGTTCCCACATCAGGAAAACAGAACGAATAAAATAAATAACCTGATGGTACACCTCAAACAGCTAGAAAAAGATGATCAAGTCAAGCCCAAAGCCAAAAGAAGAGAGGGAATTATAAAAATCAGAGCAGAAATCAATGCAATAGAGACTATGAAAACAATCCAAAGAATCAATGAATCAAAGAGTTGGTTCTTTGAAAGAATAAATAAAATCGATAAGCCCCTAGCCAACTTTGTTTTAAAAAAGGGAAGAAAAAGCTCAAATTAATGCAATAAGAAATGAAAAAGGTGAAATCACTACAGACTTTACAGAAATACAGATCATCAATACCTATTTTGAAAACCTCTACTCTCAAAGGTTTGATAACACAGAAAAAATAGACAGATTCTTAGAAATATATGAAGTACCAAAGCTAGATCAAGAGGATGTAAAACTGCTGAATAACCCAATCTCTGTTAATGAAATTGAAAATGTAATTAAGTCCTTACCTACAAAGAAGAGCCCAGGCCCAGATGGATTCACTGCAGAATTCTACAAGAAATACAAAGAAGACCTAATGCCAACACTCCTCAAACTCTTCAATGAAATTGAAAGGGAAGCAATCCTTCCTAAGTCATTCCTGGAAGCAAATATTACTCTAGTACCAAACCTGAGAAAGACCCAACTAAAAAAGAGAACTATAGACCGATCTCCCTAGTGAATACAAATGCAAAAATCCTCAATAAAATATTGGCAAATAGGATGCAGCAAATCATCAAGAAGATTATACACCATGACCAAGTGGGATTCATCTCAGGAATGCAGGGATGGTTCACCATACGTAAATCAATCAATGTAATCCACCATATTAATAAAGCCAAGAGAAAGAATCACCTGATCATTTCTATAGATGTAGAAAAAGCCTTCAATAAGGTCCAACATTCATTCATGATAAGAACTTTACAGAAAATTGGAATAGATGGTCTTTACCTCAATATAATAGAAGCCATTTATGACAAACCAACAGCCAGCATCATACTAAATGGCCAAAAATTGAAAGCCTTTAGTTTAAAATCAGGCACAAGACAAAGATGTCCTTTATCACCACTCCTATTTAATATAGTATTGGAAGTACTAGCCAGAGCAATTAGACAAGAGAGAGAAATAAAAGGGGTAAAGACAGGAAAAGAGAAGTTAAATTATCATTGTTTGCAGATGATGTGATACTCTACATAGAAGACCCCCTAAACTCGATTAAAAGACTCTTAGATATAATAAATAAATTCAGTAATGTAGCTGGACACAAAATCAATACTTAGAAACCAATAGCATTCCTATACACTAACAACAAAATCACAGAGAGAGAAATAAGAGAAACCACACTCTTCACACTAGCAAGCAAAAAAATGAAATATTTAGGAATTACTCTTATGAAAGAAGTGAAAGACCTATACAGGGAAAATTATAATGCAGTGAAAAAAGAAATTGAAGATGATCTCAGCAAATGGAAAGACAGCCCTTACTCATGGATAGGAAGAACAAACAATGCTAAAATGGCCATTCTCCCAAAACTGTTATACAGATTCAATGTCATCCCAATAAAAATATCATCAACATACCTTATAGATCTAGAGAAACCACTCCTAAAATTCATCTGGAATCAGAAGAGACCTAGAATAGCAAAGGCCATTCTAAGCAGCAAAGGCAAGGCAGGAGGCATCACAATCCCTGTCCTAAAGTTATACTACAATGCAACAGTAGTAAAATCAACCTGGTACTGGAATCAAAACAGAGACGAAGATCAATGGAATAGTTTAGAAGATACAACTACAACTACAAACACACTCAACCACCTTATTTTTGATAAAGGAGCCAAGCAGGTTCACTGGAAGAACGACAGTCTCTTTAATAAATGTGCTGGAAAAACTGGCTCTCCATTTGCCGAAAACTAAAGCTAGACCCATGCCTATCACCATGTACTAAATTAAAGTCTAAATGGATCAAAGATCTGAATATTAAAACAAAAACACTAAATCTGTTGAAAGACAAGTTGGGTAGAAACCTTAAAGACATAGGGGTAGGTAGAGAATTCATGAACAGGACTCAAACCACAAGGGAAATACTTCCCAGCATCAATAACCGGGACCACCTCTTATTAAAAAGTTTCTGCATGTCAAAAGAAATCTCCATCATAGTGAAAAGAAAACCCACAAACTGGGAAAAGATCTTAGAGAACTCCCCCCCAATCAAGGGACTTTTGTCTAAAACATATAAAGGATTAAAAAAACCTCAGACACCCAAAATTCAAAGATCCAATCCAAAAATGGGCATGTGAGATGAATACACACTTCTCAGATGAAGAAATACAAATTGCAAATAAATACATGAAAAAAATGTTCATCATCATTGATCATTAGAGAAATGCAAATTAAAACCACACTGAGATTCCATCTCACTCCTGAAAGAATGGCCAGGATTAAGAAAACCAAGAACAATAAATGCTGGAGAGGCTGTGGGGAAAAAGGAACTCCCCTACACTGTTGGTGGGAGTGTAGACTGGTACAACCTTTTTTGAGATCAGTCTGGAGATTTCTCAAAAAGCTGGGATTGGAATTCCCATTTGTTCCAGCTATTCCACTTCTAGGCATATTCCCAGAAGAACTGAAAGCATCATACCACAGTGATATATGAGCACCTATGTTTATAGCAGCACAATTTGTAATTGCCAGATCTTGGAAACAACCCAAGTGTCTATCAACTGAGGAATGGATAAAAAGTTGTGGTATTTGTTTACAATGGAGTACTACTCAGCTATAAAGAATGATCACATCAAGATATTTATCAATAAATGGGCGCAGCTTGAGACCATACTCATAAGTGAAATAAATCAATCTCTCATGTGTGAATACTGAATAGTTTCCCTAATGTAAGTAAGGATTCAAATATATAAAAGTATGTGGTAATCATGATTCCCCATTATGTGGCCTTGAAGCCTTATAAAGTTTTCACTTATTAATTGGAATGGCTTTATTCTGGGCTCCTTGATATGGAAATATTTGAAGCTATAGTATATGAAGTTATATTCAAATATTTCAAGGAAAAAGACAGACACTATGGCAACTACTAATAAGTCAGATTATTTGGTGGTGAAGCACTAGGTTGCTGAAACAGTCATGTTTTGACCTGTATTGTTATGTTGTTATGTCCTCTTTTATCTCAATCTCTCCTTTATTCATTAAAAAAATTAGTTATTTTTTATGATTTTTTTAATTAAGGGGAAAAATTAAAAAAATTAGCAGGATGTATTGCAGTAACTTTTTTGATTTCCTATTAACTTGATTTGAAGTCCTGTAATACTCCCACTATCTTGTTTTGACTGATTACACTCTGATCCGTTCTGTATGATAGTATCAAATTTGAGGTATAGGCAACCACTTTGAAGGCAATGTGATTTACTAAGATGCCTATTCTGGTTTGACTATTATCTCCTTTGGAAGTCCTGTAATGTTTACGATGTTTAGGTTTTATTGGTCTTGTTCTCTACTGTTTTGTTCAACTTTATAATACCTAATGAGATAGACAATTCCTTTTAAGGAAGCAAGAGGCATTATGGTAACCATTGTTGATAACCTTGTACTCTGTTTTTACATCATGTACTATTTCTATCCTTGGTTTTGACCGACATCTTTGTTTTGCCATATTTGACTTTATTCTCTTCCAAAAAAATGTAATAAGAACTAAGGAGTAATAAAACCCCAAATGTGTAAATTTTCTTGTAGAAAAGAGAAGGAAAAAGTGCTCTAAAGGATACAACTGCAAGTGTGTTTAGGGGTGTTAAATAGATGAGCATATTAATGTTTTTGGTTGGATCATTTAACACAACTGTTTACAGTCTCACTGTTTGTCCACTTTGTATGCTTTGATACTGTGACTTGAGCAACTATTTCTAAGATGATAATGTGTAATCTACTAACTGGTGATTTCTGGTTTTTTTTTTGTTTGTTTGTTTGTTTGTTTGTTTGTTTTTTTTGTAGTTCTGTATTACTTGTACCCTTACACCGCTTTGTTTTGTTTGGTTTTTCTCTTTTTCCTTTTAAATAAATTTTTTTAAAAACCTAAAAAAAACCCAAAATGTGTAAATTTTGTTTTAAAAATGAGAGGAAAAAAAAACTGCTCCAAAGGATACAACTGCAAGTGTGTTTAGGTGTGTAAGAAAGATGACCATGTTACTAAGTTTTTGTTGGACCAGTGAACAGAACTCTTTGCAGTCTCACTGTTTGAATGTCCACCTTGTATGTTTTAATCCTGTAACTTGAACAACTATTTTAAGATGACAATAAGTAATCTATTAACTAGTGATTTCTTGCTGTTTTTTTTTTAATTCTGTATTACTTCTACCCTTATACTGTTTTGGTTTCTTTTCCTTTAAATAAAAAAAAACTCAAAAAAAAAGAGAAAATGTAGGAAATTGGACTTATAATGTGAGTAGACAAATAAAGGTTATATTATGGTTATAAATAAAAAAGAAAAGTTGTGAAACTTTTCTGAAATAGTACTTAATGTGCCCATGTCCAAAATTTATTATATAGTTATACATAAAAAAGAGAAATTGTGAAACTTTTCTGAAATAATATTAATGTGCCCATGTTCAAAATTTAGTATCCCAGTTCCTTGCAAAAATATAGAGCATCCAATTTTTAAAATACATATGAAAAAATAAATGTCAAAATTTTATATTAGAAAGAGCTACAGATGGTGATGAAAGTTTTCATTAAATTATTACTGGATGTTTTCAACATTTTTGGTACTTCATAAAAAAAAGTGAAACATCCAGTTTTGAAAGGTAGCCTAACAGTGCTGCTGAAAATGAGAAACCATCCCACATGGCTTAACAAGAACAAGAGAACAGCTAAGGAGACACAGTGCTGTGTCAGTACAAGGTACCACTAGAATAGAGGCACCTACCAAGTTCTTTGTGACCTCCAAGAGTTCATCCTCTGTCTTCTGCCGCAGGCAGTGAACCATGACGGCTGAGGAAGTGGTTTTACACCCAGCAGCAACTGCAATTTTCTGCAAGGATGACAAGTAGCAACAGAGTTTCAGATCACTGTAGCTTTCTTCCATCAATTTACACAAAACAGTGTTATCACAAACCCAGTGTGTGAATGCATATGGGGATAACATAGCATAATCTACACCAGCAGAGGTGGGGTTTGATTTTGTTCCAGTGTATATCGCTTCTTTCATTAACAGGGCATAATTCAGCTTAACTGAATCATGCCCTGTTAATATTAATATATATATATATATATATATATATATATATATATATATACCTAAGGTCATTTGTTGAAATAGCTATAATTATTACCCCCAGCACCACAAATAAATAATTAATGAATGAGCACCATATTCCCAAAGTTAATCTTAATTAAAGAGGTTCTTAGGCATGGTGGTCATAAGTTTAAATTCAGGATTTCCCTGTCTTGTTTCAAAACCATCTCCTCTAATTCTTTGCTAGTTGATCTCCAGCAAGGTGCTTCACCCCTTTGAACTGTTATTTCTCCTTCACAGGTGATGGGAATCATTGCACTTTTATAAAAAGAGTTGCACAGCTGAATTGCGGAAGTGTGTATCATGTCTCCCACACAGTAATGCCTGTACATATTTTCAGGAGGTATGGATAACATGATTCACCAGAAGATATTATATTAAGTATGAAATATGATTGAAATGTGATCCTTGTAGCTCTTATAGCTCATCCATTCTCATTTCAGTGATCCGATGAGCATCTCAGGGATCCTTTGAGATTTCACAGCAAGGAACAGATTTGTGGATTCCCGGAGAGTAGAGAAAGTACATAGTCATTCCAGGGTGAGTCCTACCTTAGCAAGAGGTTTCATATCCTTACTTAACAGACCAGGAAGAAGGGCCACTCCACTCTCAGAAATGGCCTTGTGGAAGAGGTTCTTGGCCAGGGGAGATAAGACCTGGAAAGGGAGTAGAGAAGAGTTAATTCTCAAAGGATTGAGGTCAGTGGAGCACTTAGTCATTAAGATTAAGGCTCCCTTTATCTATTTGCTGACCTGGCCATTCACCTTAAAATACTGCCACTGAGGAGCTATGGCTGCTCTTCAGATTTCCTGTTTCCCAGGCTCCCTCTATGTGCCATTTCCTCAAAAGAACTCTATTTTTTATTTTATTTTAAAGAGAAACAAAGATAAACAAACAAACAAATACAGTTTCAAAACAGGTTAGTAGGATAGTTACAATAGTTTATAGATTGTATATTGATTTTTCCTAGGAGATATTCACAGTACAGGATATAAGCATGATATCGTTTCTAAAGAATATGAGCCCAAAACATTCTCTTCAGGGAACAAACCAAAGCTAGCTTTGGATCTTACTTAAGTATCTTCTGTATATGTAAATGTTTCTTTCTTTTTCTGATTTTGTCTTTCACCTTTCACCCTTCACCCATCATAGATTTTTTTTTTTGAACAGTGTTTTCCCAATTCACAGTATCAATTGTACATTTCTGACCTGTTTACTTGTTCGGTTTCTCATAGTAGTGAGGCAATACGATTTTTACACAAGTAGGTCTGATTAATTTCATTTATGAGTGTGGTCCCAATTTGCATCTACTTAGCTATATAGGTCTCAAGATTATCCATCTTTAGGAAAGTGCTCTAAAGAATGTAATGGTATATATAGTGTGTAAGATAGATGACCATCTATCTCAATTTCTGTTGGAACATTGAACAGAGGAATTTGTACTATCAATGTTTGAGTGTCTAACAAGTATTTATGCTTTGATTTTGTGACTTTGGCAACTATTTTATGAGATGACAATGAGAAATGTAACAACTAGTGATTTTATGAAGATAATTTTTTAAAATTCAGTATTGCTCTCCCTTCTTTACTGTTTTTCTGTTTTCTTTAATTTTCTTCTGTTTATTTGAAAAAAATACACAATATAACAACCATTGTTAAATTTCTTTCATTCTGTTTTGAAGACCTGAGTTATTAATGTTATTTGACTCAGCTGTTGTTGTTTATTCCTTTTGCTTTTTGTTTCTCTTTTCTGACTTTTATCATTTTTAAATGAAAATTATAAAAAAGATTATCCTTCTTTAATGTAAGATAATCTTAACATGAGGGAACCAGAGATCAGGATAAGTGACAGCACTGCAATTGTGTGGCATGTGCCCTCAACAACAACCATAATGTTAGAAATACATTTGTATTTCCAGAAAAAATTCTGTCCAAGAATTTTGATTAGTTATTATATTCTAGCAAAAATCATCACCGTGAAGGAGCAATGGTTGTTCTTCATGCTAGAGCACTTCATATATAGATACATACATGAATTGTGGAAAATACACTGTTTTAACACATGACTCATGTTGAAGAGTGTGTATACATGGACTACTCATATCCAGTGGAAATGTGGATGATCATTTTCCTGTTGGGCTTTAACTACTGTTTTCCTGTTTCTCTACTGTGAATTTATATACAATGCTTTCTTTTGTATGTTCAAATATGATATGAATATCTTGTATAAAAATACAGAAATAGGGCTGACCCTATGAGTGCCTGATTGTTTACTTCTGATTTACAACATCCTTTGTAACATCAATCAGTGTCCCCCAGTCCCCAGTCCCCATATGAATTAGACATCTCGAGACTCCAGGTTGGATCTGTGTCACAAAACTCCTGCGACATCCTTTCCCCTCCCTCCCCCTACTTTGACCTTCCCACCCTCCTTCTGCTCTCCTATGTAGCCAGGTACAATTTGACCCACACTCCCTAAGAGTGTTGTCCTCCATTGTAGGCACTGTCAGTTTATCAGGACAACTTACAAGAAGCCCCTCCCTGCTCTGAGGGCTGAAGTCATATCCTTGATCTTGCTATGCATAGTTTGTCTCCAAATCTACTTCACAAGAGAAATAAGGTGAGCCTTATTAACTAAAAGCAACTTACCACCACAATATTCCATCCATGTTTATGGCAAAATAGCTTGTAATAGCTAAACCTTGGAAACAAGGGCCCATCAATAGACTAACAGATAAAAAGATGTGTTTCTTTATATCATAGAATGTTACTCAATCACTCTGAAGGCTAAATTTGAGAAATTTCTAGGTAAACAGAGGCACATTCATTGCTCTTAAGTGAAATAAATAGGCCATATGGTTGCATGGTTTCTCTGGAGTGAGAAACTTAATGTGTAAATAAGGGCAAAGTACATTTATAGATAATGTGAAATAGGAAGAAATGATTCAAAAGAAAGTGAAACAAGGAAGGGAGAGGGAAAAAGAAGAAAGAGAAAATAAAAAAAATGATAAGGATAAAATAGAAATAAAACTTCGTGTAAGGAGAGTAAGAGGGGTCGAACAGAGGGGATGGGATTGGGGAAGAAAAGAAGAATGGTGACACATCATAACAGGAACAAATTTCTTAGAACGCATATTACCATTATATTTATCCAAATGTATCAGTAAATTCAATAAAAATCATTAGAAAGACCAGTGGAAACTCAACCAAGTTGAAAGCAAAGTAAGATTATTATTGCCCATTGATGGTGGAGATTCTTTCAGCTCCTGGAAATTAAGCTGAAAAATAGTATAAGGAGCACTGGGCATTGGTTCTTCTCAAGCTGATATGGACACTGAACAAACTCTGCTGATAAAGAGAGGCAAATATGACTAGATAGGCTGCTCTTCGGGAAGATTCATCAGCAATATCCAATCTAGGATTAGATTTGACAAAGGTTAGAAGACTTACAAGAACAGAGACACTTTGAGATCCAGCTGACTCTCCAAAGATGGTCACAGAGTCTGGGTTACCTCCAAAGTTGGCAATGTTGTCCTGTACCCAATGCAGTGCAGCCACCTGGTCCAAGTGACCCCAGTTCCCTCTGCTGTGTTCATCCCCTGTGCTGCAAGAGACAGATAAGGGGGAATAATTAGAACTATCACGGTGGTGCTCTTTGGAATAAAATGACTTGGGGCCCTCATTTAGTATTCCAGAATGAGGTTTGGGTTCCATATGCCTGATACAGATGCCTTTCTCTGCCTCTCATTCCTACAGCTCTGTTCTATGGGGTGATTTTCACATTCTTCTAGCTATGGTAAACTAACCACCTACCATGTATCCAAGGAAGATCTAAGAAGTAGACTGTATCAAGAAACAATACTCATGCAAACATCTAGGTATATTCACTTGTACTAAAGACTACAAACAATTGAAAAGTGAGTATACTTTCAACAATTGAAAGTGACTTGAGGAAAAACAAAACCTGGTAAAGAAAGAAGCAGATATGGTACAGTGCTGTGTCACTTCAGATCTCATCGCTACTGAAAACTTCTCTGTCACATTAGCATTTGGTAAAGATCTAAATAAAATGAGCACATGGGTCTTTGGTTGGGATGTGAGCAAGGAGTAAGTAAGAAATAATTAGATAAACATATTTTATGATGGGGCCAAGAAGATTGGCTGGCATGGTGGATGTAGTGAATCAAAAAGAAAAAGGAAAAGAAAAAGGGTTCTCTCTACCTTCCAGGTCTTTATCCTGAGGAACAGGAAGGAGAGAGCTGCTAGTGGATGTACTGTAGGTGTTTAGGAGGAGAAGAGTCACTTTTGGGTGAGAGGTAGTGAACATTGCAGTATGTAGTAGATATAAAATAGGAGGGATCCTTTAAACACATATGTGAGTGGGAGGAGATATCTAAAGAATCCAACTGCCTTTAGAACACTGGAAGGTGCTACAAAGAGGCAGAAGTGCTCAGGGATAAGTGGAGAATAAGAGGGAGACACAGGGGATGAGGATGGCTCAGGAGTTGCTAGGTGACTGAGAAGTGTGAGCAGCAACTAAGAGGAAACTCTTTGGAGAGTCTATCTGTTTGCTGGTGGTAAGAATAGTTAGGGGTGGAAGATGCTGGGTCACTATTTGTCCCTAGGAGAAGAGCCTGACAGCATGGTTGGTTGCAACACTTTTTGAACACGCATTATATGCACTCCTTCCTGAGACTGCCTCTTGCTTCTTCCAAAGCACATGAATAAAACTTTGTTGCTCTGCTGAGTGCTCACTCTCAAAAATGAGAGAGAATTGTGGAGAAGAGGGTCCTTTCACAACGTTGGTAGATGCTCAGATGTAGCACAGGTGAAATGAGTATTTCAGAGGCAGTATCATGAAGGTTAGGATTTGACCAAGGATGTGAGTTTGACAAGTAGATCCAGAATTCCAGGCAGAAGGAGTTAATCCATGAAAAATCTCAGCAACAAATGAACAAGCATGACCCATCAATGAAAAGTTCAGTGGGATCCAATTACACAATGACTGGCGGCATTATTAAGGAACTTAAGAGTGAATGCTTTGAGAGATGGCATGGCAACAACTGGGACTCAACATTTTTTCTGGGGCAGCTATTATGGTATGCTTTGCATGTGGCTCCACAGCCAATCCAAATATCCTTGTGCTGAAGCCTTGAAATATAATATGCTGTAGCACTGGGGCTGGCGCCATCAGAAAAATATAATATATATCCTATGAGATGTAGTTTCATTCCAAAGAGAATGAGTCACTTAACCCAAGCTGGCCTGCCCTTGAGTGTTCACTTTGGTTGCTTGTCTTCTCCAGTGATATATTCTGATATTCTCTTGTGACACATATACTCTGATGTCACAAAGGTGCTTTCACCAAAGACTAACTAAATGTCCTAATTTTGGAAGGAAATACATTTCTTTCTTTAAAGTAATCACCTTGTGTCAGGTACTTTTTTATGTCAAAAGAAAACAGGCCAAAACAGAAGCTCATATGTGCAAAGAAGAGCAGTATCTTACCTGAAGAATCCCCAGATTCCCAGACGGTACTGAATGCTCACTACCACCACATTCTCAAGGGCAGAGAGGACCAGTCCACCATATGGTGATGCTCCGCCAACCAGCAGTGCACCGCCATGGATCCACACCATCACCTGCAAAAAGACACATCCACACTGCTTACAGGAAACAGAATTAGGAAGGATCTCTCTCAGGCTCTGTTGTGATTTTCTGGTGCCATCCTTGACTCAGGGAGCTTGTTATTGTACAAAATTCACAGAACCCAGCCAGTCTGCAAATGAAAGCCCTTCAGCTCTTCAGGTCTTCCCCCTGGATCCTAGCACGTCATCCACTCAGTGTGCCTTGGAATCCCTTCCTTTTCCCTCAAAACTTATTTGTTATCTTTTCCCAATATTCTTTAAACAGAGAATATCACTATGGGATCTGCAATAGCTAAGAATATCAGGTTCTCCCCAACATACAGTACCCTCATGCCTGGTCATTCATCCAGATAAACTTATCATTAGCAGAACTTCTATTTAACTTCACCCTAGTTTACTTCCTATTTTGGGAATTGAATTTGTGAGTGGGAATGGTTGTCTAAAGATAAATTTCCCGAATGGTGACCTTTCCTTTCATGCCTTTCCCCTGCCTCTTCTACAACCTAAGTCTCCCACCTTTCCGAACCCACCTCACATCTACCTTCTTCATAAACTCTTCAGTGATATAATTTACATTATCTGAGAGCCTCTTGTGAGGCAGGGACTGTGATCAGGATAGAATATGAAAGGGATGCAACAGTTTATATTCATACTTACATTATTTCTAGAGCCGACATTTAAGGAATGCCTGTGAGATTATATAATAATGGCCCTGTTGTAGTTATTTTTCTAATAAATTATAAAACCACTAGTAAAAACATACTTATACTTATTTAATCACTGTTAATCCATTCATGAGGTACACACTAATACTTTCCCATATAATGTATAAGAAAACTGAGACAATTCAGAGCCAAATTGACAAATGCTACTGATTGCAATGCCACAGCTAATAAGTGGGAATACTTGAACTGAATCATGAAGCGGGCCTCAGGATTCAGGTGTTGGGGTGCCCATTGACAGGAACCCACAGCCACACCATAGAAAAATCAGTTGGTACTTGCTTTTATCAGTGCTGGTGTATGTACATGTCAAGATTTCCAACAAGACTTGACAGTTATTATATTTGAAGAAAGAATATTCATAGAAATTATGCAGCTGCTCAATTCTATATACCAATCAAAGGAGTACACTACACTCTAACTCATGTCCAAAGCTGGAGGGCCTCTAGATTTCTTTCTCCTGATGACCCTGTTTCTTCTTAATCTCTGATTTCAGCATATCTCCAAAGCCGAGATGCAGTCTACGATATCAGTGAGAGGAGAGTGAGCCCTAAAGCTGATCATCAATGTTACGCTGAGAAGCTAGCAGCTTACTATGAAGCCAAGAGAGCACGACTGTCCAAGACAGGATCTGCATGGTTATTATTTGTATTGATTCAACTTTCTGGTTTTGCTAGTATTCAAGTAACACTGAGTATAAAAGAGAAAACTAAATGAATGAATGAATCAATGAATGAATGAGGAAACATTTCTCTCCTTATGCTTTATAAAGCATATATAGGGTCAACTTTCATTCCAAGACCAGAAACACCTACTCAATTCCTGGGATGCATAAGAGGATATTTTTAGAGACTTCATCCTATCTCCAGTGTACTTTCCACACACACTGGTCTACACCTGCAACCTGCCTCACTTTTGACCATTTTTGTTTGTGAATTGCTAACTCACTTGTACATCAACCAGTGTCAAAGGAAATTAAAGAGTTATGACAAAAATCTCAAATGGTTTGGTCTAAAACAAGGAAGTCTTTCCGATACTGTCCCAGTGTTGTTCACCTACACCTATGCCACAAAATAATGAAAGTTCTCACTGTACTTTCAGGATAGGGAAAGGTATCATAGGTGCTGTTTACAGAAACCCACCATATAAGCTTCATTTCTTGTCCATGTTAGAAAGCACTGGCTTGATATCAAGGTCTTGTTTTATCTTCACTACCATGTGACTGTTTTTCATTCATTTATAGGGTCTGTTTCCATATATGTAAAGAAAGTTGACTTTGTTCAATTTTCTCAAGGTTCTTTACACCTCTACATTTCTAGAAAATTATATCTTGTTTGTATGAGATCACATTCTTAATCTAGTAACAAAGTAAACAATTTTCTGTCTGTTCTTATTGTGAGAAACTTGGAAAACCTAAGCTGTATATTTCAGATGTTAATAATCTACCACCAGAGGCTCCAGGTAATTTAGAAAACTAGGTTCGTGAAATTTGTATTTCCTGTGATGAAAAGAATCCACAGAGCATAGAATCTGTCGTGGCTCATGCTGCATCTGTTCCAAGATGCCTTCATCACTGTCTGATAAGTAGTGGACAATCCGGATGCTAGAACCCATCAGTTTTATTCCAATGCTTCCCAGTCTTACCGGCAGGCTACTTTTCCTTGTTGCATCAACAGGAGTGTAAATATTCAGATACAGACAGTCTTCCGAAATTGAGACAGAAATCTTTCTCATGCTCACAAGGTCTGTCTCAAAAATTTCTCCCATTTTAAGTTGGGAACACCTGACAGAGTAAAGAACGCAAATTTCAACCAGATGGGAACTGCAAGTGTCACGTCACCTGGGTCCTGATGTCATTCTAGGAATTTGAATCCTATAAATAGAAACAATATCACTTAGAGTAGAGAAATTACATTGAGTAGGGGCTTTTCTAGAGAACTTCATGGATACTCTGGGATTTTTAGGTGTCTTCCAGACCATCTTCTATTGGAATGAAATAGCTTTCACTACGTTCCTGCTTCAGATCATCTATTATGTTGAGTGGTCTTGCATGAATTTGTCTCTCCTTTTGTCTTCCATCTTTCAGCAACAAATTAAGTGATTTCTCTGTCTCAAGGTCTCACATATCCAGCAGGATCAAATTTATAATCATGTCTGCTGCCATGGTAAGAGGTCTCTAATATTCCTCACAGGTTTAAATAGGTAATATATATTGAATTATTCCTGATTGCCAGGTGCCAATTAAAGTACTTGTGAACTCTTGGAAGCCTCAGATCATCCCCAGGAATGAATTCTGTATTATCAGCATTTTACAGTTACAAAAATAAGAAATAAAGAGTTTAAACAACAGGGCCAGGTCACTCAAACAGGAATATTCATGCTATTTTGTACACTCATTTTCACATAGGTTGTGAGAAATATTCTAAGATTTTGGAAGACTCAGCACAATACTGAGGTACTCTGGGGATGGTTGTGAAGCCAATTGAACATGGTAGGAATTTTTTTTCAGATAATGAAGGTGACTGGAGCATGGCAATCTAGACAGAGCTGGGAGAGAGAAGTTGCAAAATTAATCCCAAATAATGTCCTAAAACCACATCCTTCCTTCATCCACACCTCTCACAGATATTAAAAGACTTGAGATGGGAAAATAGACACCATCATTATCTCTCCTCTCTCTCTCTCTCTCTCTCTCTCTCTCTCTCTCTCTCTCTGTTTATACTTCTTTCCAGAACTCTTTGCATCTCATGGAGTACCTGTATAACTTATTAATTAATGCTTTTTATTTATTAACTCTCTCTAACTGATACATGCAAGCTCCATGAAGGGAGGCAATTTTGTTTTTTTTTTTCACTAGTATATTGTCAGACACTAGATCATTCCTGGAATGCAGCAAATGTCAAAGATTAAGAGCACCATACTGTGGAAAAATTAAGCAAGTGTTTGCAACATTCAACATTGTTTTAGACATTTCTAGAACAAATGAAAGTCAATCATTAGATACTCTGATGACCTGCATCCCTCTAAGACAAACTTCCCAAAGAAAAAGTCCAAACGCCAGCCCACTGGCTTACATGGGAGGGTAAGATGTGGTGTTCTTCACATAGTTCCATGACTCTGGAGGTTGTGGAGGAGCAAATCTCAGGGATCCAATAGGAGGCTTTGCAAAAGGGACTCCCAGAAATACAGCCACGGGTTGTGCAAACCCTTCCACTCTTTCATACTTCCCCAGGACTTTGCCATACTTGGTGTCCACCACAGGTGGTGAGGAAGGGTGCTCAGCTAGATATGGAGAGGAAAAGCGGGCACATCAAAACGATGAGATTAACACTTGATTCTAATTGGTTTTTACCACTTTACTTGCATACAAGCTTGAATAAATCATCCAAACACACTAGGACTCAGTTTCTTCTCACGTAAAATGAGCATAAGGAAAAGTGTTCTAAGGAAAAGGTTACACAGGGGAGGAAGTTGAAACAGGTAATAGGAAAGCACTCAGGCAAGAGTCTCTGTACAATGGAGAGCTTCTGGGAATGAATACAACATTCAGTCCTTGCCTGCTGATGAAAGGATGCAAAAGAAGTGGCCTCTGTTTTCAAGAAAGTTAAACTCATGAGGACAAGGTGCAACAGACAAACTCAACAGTGGGAGGAAAGACTGTGTCCTTGCAGAATTATCAGAAAGTTGCTATAGGAGTTTGAATAAGGAGTGAGGAATTCACTGGTACAAAGGACCAGGGATTTGCAGCCAAGAATTAGTGCACAACACAATGTAGAATGAGAATGCATAATAGCTAGTGGAGAAAATGTGCAGATCCTCAAAGACAGCAGTAAAATTTGTGGCTAGGAAATACTAAGCAGTGCATGAGTATCCCCAGATGAAGTCCAGGGTGAGTAGAAGATAACACTGGACTGAGAAGGTGTGTGTCAGGAAAGGCCTTGAAAGACAGGATAAAGAACTGGGCTTTACCTAGTGGACAACTGAGCAGCAGGAACAGTTCTAAACTAAGAACACAATAAACTTCTATAATCTTCCTCAAGTGTCCTGAGCAGGTTTTTCTACAAGAGAAATGGGACATTTTTCTAAGGGTAAATCTCTTGCTTATGCTCTTTGTTCTTGTTTCTAAGGATTACCAATCACATCAAAATGTGCTTTCTGTGACGCAAATATATTGAGATGTCTATGGGTAGTGGCTCTGCAGGATTCTTTATTTCTTTTGTTACCTTAGGTTTCTGCACCACACATAGTTTCCCTTTAATAATTAGAAGAAAAAGGAAAGTAAAAGGGAGGTGTGCAAAAGGAATTGAAAAGAAGGATTTGGTCTTAACAGGACGTGGGTTCCTCAAAGGAAGACATAGAGAAAAGAGCAGGTTAATGATGCTTGCTGTATATGTTATATAGGCTTACAAATAGAGTCATTGAGAATCCTGCTAAGAAGATGCTATTGGATAAGAATATCCTAAGGTGGTGAATGAAATAGATGAGGGGCAGGTACAGTAATCCATCTGAAAGTGAGTGACTTCAATGCATTCCTCTCTGGGAGAAGAGAATAATCTGAGAATAAAGCCCAAAGATAACTGCAGTTGACACTGAGAGGACCTATCAACATGGTGCTGATTAAGTTACAGTGTTAGGACAGTCAAGGCAGAAAAGAAAGCTAGGATGGCAGGGGTAGAGAGTGCTTCAAAGAGGTGAAGCAAGTTATGGTAGGAATTTCTAGATGTGGTCTGTTAGCTCAATGATAATTTTGCAGCTACATAAAATGAGCTGAAGCCACATTGCCTAGGGTGAAAATGAGGATGCCTTGGATGGCTTACAAAAGAATGAAAACAGTAGCAGACAGTTTGTGACAGACATAAACTCTCGTTCCTTTAAGTTGATTCTCAAAGAAAACTTTGCTAGATTAACAAGGATAAGTTCATGTTACAGATAAAGGACAGTATAAAATTGAATGCAACCTAAAGATGGAAATGAATGACATGGTACCCAGCAAAACAGAACATTTCTGTTCCAAGTGTAGATCCTTTTTCTGCTGTTTAATCCATTCCAGTTCTCTCACAGTGTTACAAAGCCAGAGAAAAGATAAAATCTTACTCATGCCAGTGATCTAAGGAGGCTATTTGACTACTGTACCATTTCAGGAACCAGTGAATTCAGGACATGATTTCTCACATTATCTCTGGAGAGTCCATGCCTCTCTGACTCACAATTTCTGTGTCCATCAAATGGTACAAATGTAGACAAAATTTCTCATTATAGACCTGTATTAACCAAGAACATAATTTCTGTTCTTGTTTCTTTTATTTAAGCTATTGATCATCCAGTTGTTCAGGAGGTTATATACCTAATCACTCTATGATAAAGGACCATCCAAAGGGCTTAGAAATAGTGATCCATTTCATGTATTCTATAAAACCTGGATGTTGTTACTATGCACAACCTTACATTAAAAATCAATGGGAAAAAATGAGTGAGCCATGAAGAATGAACTTATCTTATTTAAGAACACAGAGTTTATGAATACTAACCTCTTTAAATGAAACAACCATATCTGGACTAGGAATGAAAATGGAGCTCTCTGAACCCTCATCAGTGAGTATCGAGGCTAGTTCACTGCACTTCTGCACTGGTTGTGTCCCCTAGAAGCTCAGGGTGCTTTTCCTCCCCTGTGTTTCACTATGCCCATAACAAACTGTGTGGCCTGAGGACTGGGAGCCTATGGCCACAGTGTGTGGTCTTCATGAACATATCTAGTATGCTCTTTCCTCATGATATTTCCACTCACATCCTCTCAAATCTTTTATGCCCTGATCTGAGATGTTTTTATTTTCATAGTACTCACCCCATGTCATGCAAGTAACCAGAAATGCCACAAACAGTCCACAGAGTCTCTCCATGGAAGGACAACAGGTTGGGAGACAAGGAGCTCTCCGTTCTGATTCACAAGGATGCACTTGTCGTCGCCCAGCACTGAATATGTTCCTGCCAACCCCACACAGCCAGCCTATTTGTAGAATCTGAAACAATAGAAAAGAATTAGTTCTTTTAAGGCTGTCCCTGCGCTTTCCTTGGCTCTCTCATGCTCCACCCATCCAGAGTTTGCCCTATTTTATGTGAACTGTTTCCCATATAATGTTTAGCTAATCTTTTATTTGAACAGCATGGACTCTACACTTAGGTTACAGACTGCCACAACCTAATTCAGCAATCTCTTATGTAAGAGTTTCCTCCTACTATGAGTCACATCTCAGTGCACTGAGAGCCATTCATAGGTGCACTACCAAAAAAGAAATAGGCATCAGTGGATGATGACTTAAGGTAAAGTGAAACTTTGATCAGGGTCCAAAGCACAACTTGAAAATTCTTAAGAGCATCTCACAGTCCCATAGGAACTCAGTTGGGAAATTACAAAATATCTCTTAACTTCCCTGGAATAGTATCGCAAAGATTTCAAGATTGTCAAGTTTGGATGACCTTGTAAATTTTGTCTAATGCCCTTTCCAAATCACAAGTTAGCTTTGCAATATTTGTGCTAATTGTTCTAGCCTTGCATCACATCTTGGTCAACATTCACCTATGTATTTATTCATTTTTAAGCATTTACCAAGTAGCATTGTGGATACATAGATGACTAATATTTGGTCCTTCCTCTCAAGGAGTTCTCCAGGTCATTAACAAGACTGAGCATGTTGGGAGGACACATCATAATGTGAGAACACGAAGTAATGAGTAGCAAAAGTACTCTGGATACAACTGGGAAAGTCTTCTTTATAAATTGCCAAGAACATAAAGAAAATGCTTGAGTCTTCACTCGTAGAGGTATCAAATGCCCCACAATGAAAAATTTAATTATCCTTTTGTAGAACCAGATGAGTAAATATTATACATTCACTCAAAGTGGTGAGTTAGATCAAAAGGCATTCATGATCTACTGTAAAGGTAAAAATACATTATAAAAACTGTTAGGGCTACTTGGAGAGACAGTTGATCATTAAAGAAAGTGCTCCCGTGTGAACCAAATCTTTTATACCTAGGTGTATAACTCAGAGAAACAAAAACACTTGATAATCAGAAATGTGTACCATTATTGATAATGGTTTAAAACTGGAAAGAGGGAAATTATTCATTACCATAAATAAACAATAAAAGGCAATCTGTGTCTATGGTGACATTACATTCAGTCACATTATGCTTTTGTGTTAGTGAAACTGGAAAACCCTGTGCTGAGTGAAAGTAGCCAGACAAACAATGCCACGGGGTGTATGATTCCATGTATAAATAAATTTCAGAATATCAAGCCAAGAGAGACAAAAAATAACTCTGTGTCCACGAGAAGCTGCAAACAGGGATTATAAGGGCCATACTTATGGGTACAAAGTTTCTTTCTAGAGTGATAAAAGTGTTCCAAGATTAGATAGTGGTAATGTCTGAGATTTTTTAATATACTACAAATATCTGAATGTTAACATTTAAAAGATAAATTTTATTATATTGGAATGAAAAAATATCATTTTGTCAACAATATCAATGTCATTTGTAAAAATAGTAAATGACTTGAAATTGAAGTATTTTTAAATCAATATGTATATGATTCCATTTTAGTAATAAAATACATTCTTTCTGAATAGAAAAAATTTGAGAGAATTAATATTTAATTACTACTGCAACAGACACGTCTAGTTGTAATATAATGATTTTACTTATAGGCAATGTGCACTTTTATTCATTCATACATTTGTCTGATAAATATTTATTGAGAAATTATGATGTGGCAAAAATTCTATAGAAAAGACTAATCAAAGCATGCCTTCCCCACAGGGTTGTCAAGAACGTATTTGTGAAAGTACTTCGTGTCCTTCACCTATATGGTGAACTGACTGTTTCTTAGAAACAGACAACTTCTGCCCATTTTCCTCCTCATATTAAGCTCTAGTCCTCTATATTGAAAATGTGTAATGAATCCTTGTTAGGCTACCTTTCCTTCTATGCTGCATGTTCCATACAGCAAAACAAAGCCATCCATGTATATTCTCATAAGTAGAGGGAAACTGGACACACAAGGAGACGCCAGGACCTTGTGTGCACACCACATGTAGACACTAGAATAGGACAGCCTTCTCCAAGACAAGAAAAAAAAACAGAGATACACACAAACCTGCTGAAACCTTGAGCTGGACTTTCAGCTCCTAAATGTCGGACAAAATTTATTCCAGTTTGTTAAGCCATGTAGGCCATGATACACTGTTAAAGAAGAAAAAGTAGATTAAGAAATACACTCAACTCAATGCTTTTCCTCTCATTCAGAGAAAAACCGACTAGAGATAAGGTTGTTGCATAAGATAACACAGCAACTCATGTCAAACTCAAGAAAAATTATGAAGCTTTAGACTTCTACTGCATGATGAATGGCAGCCACCTCTCCTGTTGTAGGGAAGTGCTGTAACCATTAATATTATTTCAAGTGGAAGTGCATTGATTTGTTTCTAATTGTGTGGTTAATACATTGGCCCAACATATGGGTCCCACAGCTGAAGGACTATAAGCCACAGGCAGACCCTCTGCCTAGTGAGGAGTAATCTGTCACTCGTGGTCCATAGCTAACCTGTCCTTTCCCACATCAGACCATTATTGACCAAGAAGTGATGAACATCACAGACCGTACACTACATGACAATGATTAGGAGCTCTTGCCATTTTGTCTAAGACCCTAGATTTGGGCTAAAAAGAAGCTTTTGGAGAATGAAAGTTATCAAAGGATGCTCATCAGTGGTCATTCCAGCCAATAAGAGAGTCTGTTGAACTTGTGATAAAGCAAGGACATCATGCCCACATAGATATTTGTTCCCCAGAGTATCCATTCTAACAGAGCACAGTTTGAACTGGGGTGTGCCCCTTACTTTTATCCAACAAGGAATAATTCATAATAAAGAACACCTTAATAAAATATCTTAATGTCTCTGTCCATACAGTACAAGTTGAGTGATGATCAGCCTAAGAAGATCAAAAGACTGCTCCCAACTACTTAGTGCACCAAGTGTGTTCTAAAACACACACAAACACATGCACACCTGTTATCCATCCTGCCTTTAGCTTAGTCAAATGGCTTCTCCTGATAAACAATGCTTGCTCTTGCCCTCTGACAATTGTGCAGTGATTTCTTAGAAAAACACAAAAGGAGAGGAATGAGTTATTCTCCAAAAACACTATTGGGTCACATGCCCACTTGTGACTCCAGTCACTCTACTAGTAGAAGTGATCATTACTTGTCAGCACTTAACTGAACCTGTAAAGCTCATTTCTGGTCCTAATGGATCTGCAAAAAAGATGGATGAGGCTGGAGTTCAGTAAGCCTCATGCGAGATGTCATGTTCTATTAGTTAGTCTCTTTCCCCTGTATTTGGAGATTATGCTGTGTTTTTTTGTTTGTTTGTTTGTTTAATGAGTAGTTGTTTGGGTCTATTGCTCTTGTCTTGGGGGAATCCTCTAAATTTTTCCCATCTGGATCATTATTTCAGAAGGAATGGGCAGGGCTTTGGTAAAGCCTGTCAATTGTGACAGGGTGTGTTATGGTTTGAGAACTGTTGGTCAACTTCACACCAGCTGGATTACATCAGCATGCATTGAGAGAAGATGCTCCACCTGAGGAAGGTTGCTAGGCTAAATAGATGGAGAAGAAGGGAGGTGTTGAGAGGGTTGAGGCATTAAGGAGGCATTGTGGGTTTTTCCTACGAGTCACTGTCTGTGTGATTCCTATTCTTTCCCTCCAGCAACTGTACATGCATTAACAAATAAAGGTTCTTGTATAGAATTCAGAGCTAGAATTGCATAGTACAAGCTGTCAATGGTTTGGATTCTTCATGAACTTCACAATCCCAGTGTTGTAATGGTTTCCCACATCCAGAAGCTCCTCTTTATGGGAAGAAATTTTCTGAAGTGAGGAAAAGCCATGCTATACCTGAGGAGTTGGAACTTCAGGGATTTCACAACCATCCCATTCTCTGGATCATCTCTCAGTCAAACAATAAAGGAAGAGCTAGCAGGAAAGCATTGACACTTTGAAAAAACAGAAGTCAGAAGCTTCCAGAAAAAAGACTAATCAAAGCATGCCTTCACCACAGGGTTGTCAAGAACGTATTTGTGAAAGTACTTCATGCCCTTCACCTATATGGTGAACCGACTGAAACAGACAACTTCTGCCCATTTTGCTCCTCATATTAAGCTCTAATCCTCTATATTGAAAATGTGTAATGAATCCTTGTTAGGCTACCTTTCCTTCTATGCTGCATGTTCCATACAACAAAACAAAGCCATTCATGTATATTCTCATAAGTAGAGGGAAACTGAACACACAAGGAGACATAGGGATAAGCAAACCTGCTGAAATCTTGAGCTGGACTTTTAGCTCATAAAGGTCAGACAAAATTTATTCCAGTTTTTTAAGCCATGTAGGCCATGATACACTGATAAAGCAGAAAAAGTAGATTAAGAAATACACTCAACTCAATGCTTTTCCTCTCAGAGAAAAACTGACTACAGATAAGGTTGTTGTCTAAGATAACAAAGCAACTCATGTCAAACTCAAGAAAAATTATGAAGCTTTAGACTTCTACTGCATGATGAATGGCAGCCATCTCTCCTCTTGTAAGGAAGTGCTGTAACCATTAATATTATTTCAAGCCAAAGTGCATTGATTTGTTTCTAATTATGTGGTTAATACATTGGCCCAAGATATGGGTCCCACAGCTGAAGGACTATAAGCCACAGGCAGACCCTCTACTTAGTGAGGAGTATTCTGTCACTCATGGTCCATAGCTAGCCTGTTCTTTCCCACATCAGACCAAGAAGTGATGAACATAACAGACCATACACTACATGACAATGCATAGGAGCTCTTGCCATTTTGTCTAAGACCCTAGATTTGGGCTAAAAGGAAGCTTTTAGGGAATGAAAGTCATCAAAGGATCCTTAGCAGCAGTCATTCCATCCAATAAGAGAGTCTGTTGAACTTGTGATAAAGCAAGGACATCATGCCCACATAGGTATTTGTTCCCCAAAGTATCCATTCTAACAGAGCACAG